AAAACCTCTATTCATTTTTTCGCTCATTTTTTTAATTAATGTAGAACCGTTACATTTTATATTAATAAAGTGTAATAATTATTTTAATATAATTTATTCACTACTAACACTAATTGACTACAACTTTACATTAAATAGTATGTGGAAGTTACATACTTATAAAAAATTGTATTGCAATTTTTTTCTTTAAAATACTTTTTCTAAAATAAAATATTTTTTTTCTTTTTAAACGATTTTTATCTAATAAGTTAATTGGCATGAGTGTCATAATTAAACACCTTAAAATCACATAAACAAATGCTATAACACTGATAAAAATAATTGTAATACTTTTCTAACTAATTAATTGTATGGTCCCTCTAAATTACTAAATTATATTAGTCATTAAAATTTATGGCATCGATATAAAGATTCATACGTAAGTTAAATAAATTATATTTACATTACACATTTGCATGTAGTCCAAATTTAAAATGTAATACATCAATTATTTAATATGAAATTTGTATATATTGTATACATAAATATAATATATAAATTTTTATTTTTTTTTGTGCATGTGCACAGGATGAATACTAGTAAATAAATAATGAGATTATCGATCCAACATTTCAAAAGGTCAATAATACATATAATAAAATTGATTGGTATTTTGTCATCTTATATTATCATATTGAAGAGCTTCTTTTGAAACGGAACTGTGTGATCAGTTCTAGTTATTAGTGTACCTTAGCTTGTACATTTTCTTATGCATATTTTATGAGACTAATAAAGACTCTCATATTCAGTGAGGTGGATTTTAAAACCAAATTTAAAAATGTATTAGAACTAGTTTTATTATTTTTAAACTACCAATACGTGTTTTTGTTTTTTTCTAGGTTTGTAAATCATATTTGGAGGTTATGCAGTTTTCACTTTTTTTTTTTTACGAGGACGACGACCACGTTAATTTGATTAATGTGTTTGGTAAAAGTAGCTGATAAGTTAGTTGATAACTGATAAGTTAGCCTATATAGCTTAACAATAATTTTTGAGTTTATAGTTTATGGCTTATAGCTGATAAGCTAGATTATATGATAAAAATATTTGATAAAATTAGCTGATAAGCTAGCTAAAATTAAAAATTTAAACGAGCTTATTTGAAAAGCTACTAAAAAAAGCTTATGAAATCAGATCGAGCATTTTAAACAACTCGTCTTACATACCAAACGAGACTTATTTAAATACAGAAACCTTATAAATTAACTAAATAAATTATAAACTAGCTTACATAGCAAATTAAACAGTATGCGATCTTAGTGCCAATATAAAATTCTTGGAATTTGCAATGGCAATGATTTGTGAGGCAAGGTTTTATACTTGCCCAATTTTCTTTCTTATTTTTATATATCATTAAAATAGCTTGAGAGGGTGGGAAAAAAAAAAGAAAAAATAATAATTCATTTTATTTTAACTAGTTTCAGTTTTTATTTCAACATATATGGCCAAAAAATGTCAATTTGCACAAAATAAAATGGCCATGGTTTTCGTCATAGACCTGGAACTAATTGGGACCAATATTGGAGAGTGATAAGGACACAACATTGGCAAGAATGTCACATTCAACTAAGCAATTTGCAGCTATTACTCATAATTCTTTAAATACACAACGAGATTATTGAAAAGCTCACAAAACTAAGATTAGATAATAAAATAAAACTCTTGAGGGAGAGCTTTGCCGCCCTTGTGGTTCTACCCGGCTTGATTCCGGATTAGTCGGTTCCCCCGTGGATCCGAAAACCAGAAGGTCCCTGTACCAAAAAAAATAAAATAAAAGGTGACCCTTTCAAGTTTCCAGTTTTGCTATGGAGTCATCGGATGGCTCGGCTTATGGAGCAATCCACAGTTATTCACCAATAGTGTATTGACACGTGTCCTACAATAAACACAATTTGGATAGGTGTCAATATATTGAGCGATGAATAACTCCATAAGAAAACAATCCGATTGCTCCATATAATTTTGGTTCAAAGTTTCAACCACACATGTAACATTTTCAAGCAACTTGCCTACTTTTTGTACATGTACCACAAACAATTTGCATGCATAATGAAAAACATAATTCAGAGTTCCACCACACATTATGTCTCGCAACTTGCATGTCTTTTTTTATTAATTCTTCCATTAAATTAAATATGTTTGGTGGCAACGAGTAAGGTCCAAGTGAACCAAGGATTCGAATTGAATTGCCCTTATCATAGTACTTGTATACCTCAACTTGTTGGGTGCTTTAATTTACTTTTTCGGGCTTTCTAATGTGTTCTAGGTATACATAATCGGACTGTGAAAATAACTCGTATAATAGGTAAGAGATGAGGCGAGCGGTCAAATTGTATGGTCTGATATTTGACGATTTGTGTAATAGGCAAGAGCACGGGGAAACTAGAAACTTAGTTGAGATGAGGCAAAAGACATGACATAATGGATTTAGAACTAAACCTTAATGGATTCAGAACCGATACCGAACCGATAACATTTTGGTAATCGATTTTCGATTACCGTTACACGTAAATCGGTTCGATTCAGTTCATTTTTTCACCATATCGATTCGGTTCAGTTCGGTTTTCGAATTTCGTCAAAAAAATATCAGGTCTAGCTGGACAATAAAAGAGAGTTGAAGTCTTTTATATGAGTCAAATAAAAGTGTAGAATAATAATAATTAATATACAAAATTAATAGTAAAATAAAAGAAGTGTTGAATTGTTAATTGACAATTGTGGACAAGTTGATTTGGTTAATGAAGTTTAAAAACGAAAAATATCTGGGTTGCAAATTAAATTTTTAATATTACTAGTAAAAAAAATTAAAATTT